TCAAAGGAGCGTGAGCGTAGGTGACTCTAGGTTGAGGGTATACAGTAGGCTGAGCGTAAGTGACGGGCGAAGCGTAGCTGTATGTGGGGGCAGCGTAGGCTACGGGGTGTGGGGCGTAGACAGGAGCGTAGCCGGCCGAACCAGCGGCAACGATGAACGAGAGAACTATCTGTAGAAAGAGAAATATATTTTAAAAATATGTTTAGACATAAGGAGTTAAAATAAGCTACATAAAGAGTGATAACTGCAGGAATGACCAGTGTGTGTTGATTACTGTGTTTGGAAGGGATTCCTAAATTAAGAGAAATATGAATTAAATCGTACATTTATAAGAACTGTTTGAACAAATATAAAACTATTTTTTTACTTGTGGTTGTTGTATTGACAGTTTTTTTTTTGTTTTTTTTTTGTAATTTAAGCTAGATTTTACTTTTAGAGGAAAGCCTGCCATAGACTCCTCTAAATAAAGCATAAATAAGTCATTGTAGTATATCAAGTTAACCGCAAAACTAAAAATTATTAGATACTTATTAAATTATCAGATACTTATGGGAAACTTAAAATCATTTCATTGTAATTTTGTTTTATTATTAAAATTATGACACATATTGACTACGTTTTGGTGTATCGTGCCCACTTTAGAGATTAGTAGTGTCTTGGCATATCTATTTGGAATTTAATTTAGTTTCCAATGGGTCCACTCCTAGTTGAAATCTATTTGTTATTGTTGTGTTTACATTTTTTGTTTTGTTATTTAATTATTACAATTTTGCTTCCATCAAACATATGTTTTACTTTTAGCGAATTTCCCTATAGGGAAGTAGCTATTACCGTAGGTCTCATGGTAAGACTTAGGCCCGGGACCGATTTACTTTTTCATTTTAATGTCCCCAGAGGCCAAAAACACCATTCGTTCAAATTTTTATATATGTATATATATATATATAGATATATATATATATATATATATATAGATTTATATATATATATATGTGTCCGTGAACACGATAACTTGAGTAATTTTTATCCGATTTTGATGAAATTTGGTTTGAAGGTGTAAGGCGGGATAAACTTGAATGAGTTCGCGATCCAGCATGATCGGACCATGGGAACAGGGTTTTATGGGGGGTTTTATGGGGTAAAAATTGGTTTTTCTCACTTTTTACCCTCAAAACACAAAATTTCCCAATATTTCTCTAAACCTTCTTAAAGAGCTTAAAAAAACAAACAATTAAGTATATCAAAGTGTTTTTTTACGGTTATTGGTTACGGAGAAAACTAAAAAAATGGTAAATTTAAAATTCCCATGTTATTCTTATGGAGAATATTGTAAAATGTTGTAGTTTGCTTGTTTATGGATATATTTTGATCAAACTTGGCAAATTTATTTATTTTATAGTAAGCTATCAATATTTTACTAAAAACACACTACTTTATTAGTTTCCTTGTAGCAGCAAACCTAGGTACTCGTTAAACCTAATGTTATTTAAATAGATCAATTGAAAATCAATTCGGCCAAATGGAAATTCGCTTAGACGGCAGGTTTGCTGCGGCGGGGGTATTTTTCTAACATGAGGGGATTCCTCTTACAAAACTTTGAGTTGAAATACAACTAGATAGGACTAAATGTAGATTACATTATACAATTTAAATTTAGCATAATAAATTAGTGATACGTTTTTAGAATTTTTGTAACCAAACCAAATGAATTGGTGTTCTTACAATTATTGTTAAAATTCAAAGACATTCTTCCCGAAAATTGTTTTAACGTCAAATAAAATTTAAAATCTATGTGGCATAACTTTTATTCAAAAGTATTTCAATTTATTTTAGATTCTCAATGATATTTTATATTCTTAGCTGTGGTGGAGTGGTACAGGAACATGCACTTAAGAGCACTTTGTTTATATAAGTGATAACTACCCTTACTTAAAATACATTTTACAAGCTATCAATAGAACTTTAATCGTTCCTGGATACCATATTTAAAGTGAATTTATTTTCTTTCCTATATAGTTAATTCTCAACTACTGTATAGAAAAGTGCTTAACTGAAGATACTTACCAGAGCTCGCATTGTGAGAGAGTGTCTAACGGTACACGGGGTAAGTGTATATATATCCTGGGCTCAGTCAGAGTCAAGTTACAAGTTATAAGATATAGTATCGTCACCCTCGGCCTGCTTGCCTATACCATGACAACTTCCCTTGGGTTAGGTCATACCTGCATACACCTAGTCTAGACCGCTTTAGATACCCTCACAATCTAGGGAACTAGATGGGTCGTTATTTTTGTAAGATTTGCGCAAATAAAGGTCCCCACAAGACAGTCTGCAGGTACTGTGACCTTTTATTGATTATTAAATAAAGGTGTGTTGAGATTAGGTTAGTTCTTGGTCAAATTAGCATCCCAACCCAGTTATTGTTTCTAAGTATATACTCCTTTTGTAAATGTTTAATAAAACTAGTGTAAAGTAAAGGCATCCCCCATTGACCAAACTTAACCATAGATTTGTTTCTGATCTACATTTCAAAAACTACTATAGACTAGTGTAAGTTTATGTGGTGGTATTCCTCCTAAAGGTGCGATTGACTTTACATATTCTATCAAAAATGGCCTAATCAACGCCTGATTACTATTTTGCGACTGGTTAGGGTTCCATTACTTAGTTATCGTAACCAATCACGAAATTACTTTTTATTAGCATCTTCGATATGCATATTTTTGGTTAGTTTTAATAAACGGAAACTACCTCTAGGTTTTACAGTTATATGTGGATGCTCCTTTTACTACCGTACGTGTATAGTCTAGTCAAGATATGAAAAAACACCCCTTAACCTTAAAAAAATTGCTCTAAAAGGTTTTTTGATGGTTTTCATTTCCAAAAAGTATGTTAAATTACATACTAAAAGTCTAATAAAATCGGAGTCTCGGAAATTGGATTTTTCCAATATGGCGTCCAAAAATTTGAAAACATAATAAACCTTACTATTTTCCCTGTAAATTTTCTTCTGAACCTCCAATTTAGACCGAATTTGGTACAAACCTTTGAAACTGTATTATCTATAAACTATTCATGATTTAAGATAAATAATATACAGTAAACGTGTTGTATGAGGTTGAAAATAGGTAAAAATCTGTCTCAAGTTGTTAGTAGTAAATAACTTATTTCAATATTGGTCACTATAGGGAACAAAACATTTTATCTCTAGTCTGTGCTATACCCATGTTGTAAATCCTAAAAAATATATGCAATTTAGCATTTTAATCATTAAATTATTTTACGTGGTGGTGGGATAGTTATAAAAAAACTATGTAATTCTTATGGAAATTCTGAAAATTACCATATCTTGATTGTTAATTCGTACGCTTGGATAATAATTCATCGTGGCCTGTATCGTCTCCACAGCACAGATACAAACACACACATATTTGTCATAAGCGAATTCTGTGTTGGGTCAAGTAATAGAATTTGTTTCAGTACTTATTTTTACGCTCATTCAATTCTTTTATTTTGTAATAGTTCACAAGTAGTTTATAAAAAAAAATTATATGTATCATGTGTACAGGTTTATTTTGGCAATCCTGCTGTTAATCAGATGTTTTTTGACTTCATATGATTCCAATCGTATTGTTGTTCATGTTTACAGTTATTTAGATCAAATTTAGTCTAGTCAAGATATGAAATAAAACCCCTTAACCTTAAAAAAATTGATTTAAAAGATTTTTTGATGGTTTACATTTCCAATAAGTATGTGTAACAATGTACTAAAAGTCTAATAAAATCGGAGTATCGGAAATCGGGTTTTTCAATATGGCCAAAATTTCCAAATTTCACTAAAATATTTCCATAGACAAGCAAGTTTTAACACTTTATTTATTCTCCATAAGAATAACATGGTCATTTTAAATGTACACTTTTTTATTTTCTCCGTGACCGTTAGGCATACAACAACGCTTCTGAATACGAAATTATTTGTTTTTATGATCTCTTCAAAATGGTTTGGAAATGAATTGCAACTTTTTACAGTGAAAAATGGGAAAATCCCATTTTTACCCCGTAAAAAATAGATCTTAAGCATACTCAATTTTTGGGCTTAACCTAGACAAATCTTAAATATACACAAATCATAATACAACAACTTTCTTCAGGGTTATATGTTTTTAGGTCAGTGTCACTAATGTAACCTGGACATTCTAAAATAAAAATATTTTGTCTTATGGTCTGGCAATCTATGGAGGAACGCCCAAAAAATTTAGATTCAGTTCTGAAACTCTAAAAACGCTATAAGAATCATGCTATACTTACTTAGACAAACGATAACTGTAAAAAATCAATTTTCAAAACTACACATTTTGACTGTCTTATCAATAAATATGTACTATAACTAGTGGCCTGTAGGGGCCATAGCCCCTAATTTAGACTACAATAAAAACCATATATAAAAAGACAAATATTCGAAATATGTTTTTAAAATTATCAATTTTATGTTACTTAAAATTAACAGTGTTTCTTTTTTATATCTTGGTTTTCCTTCCGTTGGAGTCGTATATTAGTTGCTCCTGATGTGTCAATGAAATACAATTGTAAAATAAAGATTTAATCAATAACACAACATAACAAATGGAAACGTGCACACGGTTTGTCCATTCATATGAAACTAGAAATAAAATTTATATACATTTATCAATCTCAGCTTCTATGAAAAACTAAAAAAAGGAAACCTTCATGAGATCAAAATTTTTGAATCATTTTCCTACCAAATTAAAAAAGTAAAATAAACCAAAATGATTTCATAAATCTAGTGAATCAACTGCTAAAAAAAGAAAAGAACTATTATTCATTTAAAGAGTTTTTTCAATTAATGTAAAAAAACCATGTTGAGATGCTCTGCTGGAAAAAATAAACAATAAAAACGATTCGATGACCCAAAGTGCCGCACCAGAGATTCTTTTAAGATTTGTTCACTGCAACTACTCTACTAGCTGCAAGAATTCGCAATGCTCCTGCAACAAAGTATGGGTTACCTTGTACTACAGCTTGTGGACTTTACCAGCTTGGAGAACAATGTGACAGTTCGTAAAGTGATCAAAACAGTGAGTGTATAACATGATGAAAATTATGAATTATTATTTGTATGATGCTCTACTACTAACCACAAGAAAGTGTTACTATATTATACTCTTACTAATATTATAAATGTGACAGTTTGTTTGTTTGAAGTTCAATCACGCATTAACTACTGGTCCGATTGGGCTGAAATGTGGCTTTATGATAGCTCAGATTCCCTATTAATACAAGCCTATTCTTATCTCAAAAAATCCTTTCGGGCTAAAAATTTATAGATATTTATTTAAGTAAATAAAATATGTATGTTGAATTTTAGCAAGCTTGTGATCTTTATTTTAAGACCTATTATTGCATTTTTCAAGCAAAAAATAGTCATAAATTAAAATACCCCCGCCGCAGCAAACCTGCACCCTAAGCGAATTTCAATTTGCCTGATTGAATTTACACTAAAATATCACATTAAAAATATCATATTTATTCCCTATTTAAATATCACTACTTTAACTAGTACTTCGGTTTGCTGTGACAGGGAAGGGTAAAAAAGAGTTTTTAGTAAAATGTTAAATAGTTTAGTATAAAACAAATGCATTTTCCAAATTTGATAAAAATATATTCATATGCAGGCTAACTACAACAAGTTTTCTTATTCTCCGTAAAAATAACATAGGAATTTTAAATTTAAATTTTTTTTAAATTTTCTCCGTAACTAGGTATTAGGCCCATGACAACGCTTCATTGTACTAAATTGTTTTTTTTCTGAGCCCTAAAATGGTTTCAAAATAAATTGCTAAATTTTACGATTTTAGGGTCAAAAATGGGGAAAACCAATTTTTACCCCATAAAACCCCCCATAAACCCCTGTTCCCATGGTCCGATCATGCTGGTTCGCGAACTCGTTCAAATAAATGTATGTTTACATGTTTGTACCAAATTTAATCGAATTCGGATCATTTTTGCTTGAGTTATTGTGCTAACGGACACATTTAACCAAAATATTGGACGCCATCTTGAATTTTGGACTTCCGAGACTCCGATTTCATTAGACTTTTTTTCCTGGAAAATACACATAATTCTAAGTCAAAATAACCAATAAAACAATTTAAAGCAATTTTTTTAGGGTTCTCGTACGGATTGACTCGACTAGTAAGGCTATATTATTCTAACCTTTTTTGCTTGGAGCAACAGGCAGTACCTGGTTAAAATCTCCTTCAAACAATATTGTTTTCCGCCCATTGGAACTTGACATAGTACTTACTTAATGAACAAATACCTGAACGAACCTATTTCACCTTTCTTTATTCCCAGGTTGTTTTTTAAGAGTAGCCTTTGAGGTTATTCCATTTCATGCAAAATATTGACTAAACACTACAGTAAATCTCAAATACAAATGTTAGTAAATTTACAAACAAAAAAAATTTAAAATAAATCTTTAACATAATATGTTTTGAAATAAAAAGAAAGCAGATGTTCTCCATTTTATCTTGAATAGTTTTTAGTCAATGTGGTTATTTCATGTTAAACATTCCTTCAACACAACAATAACTTTCAAATTAGGAAAAAAACTGTATTATTCTTTAGCCATTCTAATTTAAATTCCTTTGATTTGAGCCATATCATATGATTCTACTACTTATCATACGCTTTACTTATTTACTTAAAAATACACAAGTTTACAAATTGAACAGTAAAACAATTGATTTCAACTTTATAAGACTTAACTAAATAGTCCTAATTATTTTTAGGTAACGTCATCCCTGATTTTATACAGTATACAGTTCATTGCAGAATTGACTGGCAAATGAGTAATCCAAATGTAATATTTCTTACAGGCTTAATGATAAATCAAGATCAGCTGTATTGAAGTCAACCAAAATCAGCAGTAAATGGCTTCTAATGCTATTCTTATGGAGAACATTTTACGTTATATCATTGACTATTGGATACTGAAGTTGTATTAATAGTCAAAGGTTATATCTAATTTTGTGTTAACATTTTGGTAATTTCACTATTTTTCCCGCCGTCGCGTGATCGAGACCTTAAAGGTCGATTCACACACATCAGTTACGTTACGTTGCAGTCCAGTCACTTCAGGCACGTCACAGTTAACAAAAATATTCTATAATGGATTTTCTATTGCGCTATCTACACTCATCCGTTGCAGTCCCGTCTGTCTCTCTGCCGGCATCCATCAGTCGATTTCAGATTTCTTTTCACCGATATTTTTTTTATTGTTCGGACGCCTGACGGAACTCTTTGAGGTTGGAAAATAATGTTATTGTTATTTAAATGGTTGTGTTTATATTTTGAGTGCTGTTTGTAACAATTAACAAGATGGACAATGATAATATGATAGAATATAGGCTTATAATTTAAAAATTTTGACTATAAATTACTGTAAATATTAGAGACGGAAGACTGACTGAAACCAACAGACGGGCAGTTGACTGAGGAATTGCGGATGCAACTGAGACTGAACTGTAACTGGACTGTAACGGAACTGTGACTGGACTGATATGTGTGAATCGACCATTAATTTGAGCCCTCTCCGTCGTTCTACGACTTCTCAGTCACCCACAATATTGACGCAAAGAATCGGCATACGTAATTAATATAGGCCTATAGATATTGTGAAAACATTAATAAACTCTAATTACACCAATCAAACACTTTTTAAAACTCTATTATACAACATTAGGATTTTTCGCATATGCTGATCAAATACATTGTTTTAAATCATGTTAAAATTTACTAAAAGATGAAAGGGGGCTTACAAAAATCTTATATTCCTTCAATTACTAACTTTCATGCATTTACAAAAACATAAACAGCCAAGTTGTAAGTGCATCAGTCCAGTCCAACTGGACGTTGGTTCATTGACCTATATAACCCGATACCACGGTGTTAGTTCCAGGAAGAGTGTACTGTAGTAGTGAGTGTGGTAGGAGGTATTGTAGTGGAGCTAGACAGTGTTAGTTGTTGTCAGGGCCTCGTTGAGGAGCCAAGGATCTGGAAGGATACGCTCACTGCACTGCCAGAGGTAATGCTCTTTACAGATGCAGGTTCAATTAGTGTAGTGATTGTTTTACATCATTTAATTTTTTTTATTTTAACCTATGTAGTTTAACTAATATATTTTTTATTAATTTAAAAATTTATCTTTAGTATGTTTTTTTTTTAACTAGGCCATGTGATTTGATTGTTTTTTTACTGATTTATGGAATTTCATTTATTATTCTCAAATTTATCTTTTATTAATTTTGTTTTTAGTTGACTAAGTTCTTCCTGGTAATTTATGCCCTGCGTTCTGTCCTTTAAGATCATATGCCTTTTGTCTAAAATACCGACAATGGAATAATGAGATTCATTTGAAAATGTATGCAATATTGGCTCCCAAAATATAATACATGATCCATTAGCTTCTTTCTACAATCAGTAAAATTATTTTCTACATCAATTGCTGTATACTTTGTTATAAGAACATAATTCAGATTTATTGTTTCTGAGGTTAAATCATAAATTGGATAGGTATAACGAACAATGTGACTGTTTTGATTGATGTTATAAAAATTGTATCGACTTTCCTTCGATGGATGGATTTGTCCTGTTCCATTTTTACCTAGACAAATTGATTCTGAGGCGTCATTCTATGAAGACCATTTTACACATATCAGCTGTGATAATAATTTTAAAGTCTGTGTTTTACAAAAAAAAGGAATCAAACACAATGGCAGTGGAGAGACATGTCAAGACTTTGACCTAACCCCAAGACCTAAGCCCTAAGGCAAGACATATTACCTATAATATTTTTTGAAAATCAGCTTCGCATGTTTACACGAAAGGTATTCTAATAGAAAAATTATTATTCAAACTTTGTCTTTCATTTTTGGTTAATATTTATATTACCTTTTTTCACATATATCACAAAATAATGCATTCAAAATAATGGAACACATTACGATTTTGAAATATAGTTTAAGTTAAAATGTATTAATTTTTCAATTTTTTAAATGTCATAAATAGAGCCGGGACGCTATAAGTATGAGTGAAGGAAGGGCGCAGAATGGTGTGAGATGATTTTTGTAGATTTGCTACTGACTAAAGGTACTACAACATTATTATATCATTAGTATGCCACATTACATTATTGGCCATTTCAGTAGCAAGGATCATTTATTAGAACCCCAATTATCAGAAACAGCTGGGTCCAGTTTCGAACCATTTAAAAGCTACTTACTTTTCTCAGGATCAAACTGACAACCTCTTTGATTGCTATGCAACCACTCAGCTACCTAGCCAGTCTTAAAAAAACTGTGTAACAAAGTTATACTTTTTGGTGGTCTTTCAGGTAACGTTTACAGGACTGATAAAAATATAGATTATGTCGATGGAGCTTAATATTCGAATATTCAAGTTGAACATATATTTAATGACAACAGTCAAATACAAGTTTAATTAATAACCTTAATCGGGAAAAATGTTGAAGAGTTTCAGTGTTCAGTGAGAAAGGCAAAACGAATACTAAATTATTGTTAAAATTGCTTATCTAAATATAACTAATTTATGACGCATTGCCAAATACAATACATGTGCACACTCATTTTCCTTGTTTATTGACTGTGGTGATGTGAAGTGTTTACAAACACTGGGTTCGTTGGCCATTTTCACGGACATAACAGTTTGAACCTGTTTAACCTTTTGTTGTGACCTACCATGAGTGTGTTGTTGTGACCTAAGTCTCAAATCTGAAGCTTCCATATCTCAGTGTAACGATAGCTATCGTGAACTACAAACAATTATGTTTGCTTATTAGCATGTTTTATAGCGCCTTTCTTTTATAGCGAGAAATGAGGTAGGATTTGTAAGGAAAACTTTACTATTTGTATGGAAAATAGTTAACTTTAGTTGGGTTGTACATATTTATTGATAGGCGATATTTATGCATGAGTCTATTTCAATTACTTTTGTCAACAACTCAAAAGATATGGAAGAAAACTGGGCGGTTAGAAAATATAGACATTGGTATAAACAGGTACAACATAATAAACCTCATTCAACAATGTTTTGTATTCAAATTAACTGCAATATTAAAACTCGTTTGTAAAATGTCTCCATTCCAAGTCTGAGAGTCTGCAGGGAAAGGCCACACCTTGGATTGCAACAAAGTCACGAAGTTTTGGAGATGAGGGCGATGGAACAAGAACCTTGAGTAGGGAACGTAACGGTTATACTTTTGTTTAGATAAGTCTTTGTTTATGTAAATAAATTATTTAATTTAACCTTATTCTAAGTGCTAAGACTTTCACTTAGCTGTTAACATAACCTATTTACAGTTTTTTTTTTTTTTTTTTTAGAAAATGTTGGTGTTTCGCCACTCATACACTACTGTAAAACACTTTACTGGCTGGAACCTATCCAGCAGATGTAATCCAGTTTTGTTGTAATTATCAAGCTCCGATCCTAAAAGAAAAACACCCAGTTGTTGTTAAACAGTTTAATATGCAAAATTAAATCAAAATTCAAATTAAATAGAGAAAGGATGTTTCATATTTTAGATTAATTAGGTTATCAGCTTCTTATTAAAACATTTTCGATTGTATGGAACAAAGCAAGGGATGAAAGTAAACAAGTTTACAAATAGAAGTTAATACTTTAATACTTTTTTATGAAATGGCGACCATACATAGTAGGTATTTTAAGCCAAGTATGAATGGAGATGAGTAGGATGAGTGGCGCGATCTTGTAGTCTTGTTAGTGACTAAGGTTAATCAGTAAACCGATGAAAATTTATTGGGGGCAAAGAGACTTGAACCCCAACATTTATTTATTTATTTATTTATTTACTACATGTCATTACATCATTTTTTGACAGGACATAAAGTCATATACAGGATATACTAAAACTAAGAAATAACAAAAATGTCTTACTAAATTGTTAATCTATTTAAATAACATTCTATAGAAAAAATTTTTTTTGTTTTTAACCAGGTCTTCAGGGTGGATCTGAACTGTGTTTTACTATCAATATTTTTTATGTGGAGTGGTAACTTATTGTAAACTTGTGGGCCTATATATTGGGGAGATAAATGAAATTTCTCTAATCTATGGGTTTCAGGCTTAATATAACTCTTAAATCTAGTGTGGTGGGAATGAATGGGTTGGTTCATGAATGAGGAGAGATTGTCTTTAACCCAATTTGAAATTTCTAAAATATAGTGATCATAAAATGTTAAAACCGAAAATGTTTGAAAAAGACTTTTACAAGGAGTTCTACGAGGAACTCGCCCAATAATTCTAATTGCTTTTTGTTGAAGTTTGAATATTTTGTTGGAGTGGCATGAGTTTCCCCAAACCAGAATACCATATGTCATTATTGAAGAAAAATAAGCATGATAAACTATAAGCTGAGTCTTCAAGTCAACAGCTTGTCTGATTGCACGAAGAGAGAAAATACAGCGGTTTAATCGTTTAATCAAATTAACAACTTGTGATTTCCAGTTAAGATTTTCATTGACAGTTATACCTAAAAAATTCACATTTTGCTGCAGTGGCATTTTAGACTTTGATGTTGTAATTTTACCTGTTTTATATTGATTATTATTAGAACTAAACTCTATAAGCTGAGTTTTATCATCATTCATAACCAACCCATTCACCTGGAACCAGTCTCTGAGCGCTTGCACCTCCCTGTCGAGTGTGTGTCGCAGGGATTCGATACTGGGTGCCGTACATAGCACCATTGTATCGTCTGCATACTGAAAGAGTTCCATATTGGAGACTTGAGGTAGGTCATTAACATAGATTATGAACATACTAGGGCCCAGTATCGACCCCTGAGGCACACCACATGGTACTTTCCCCCAAGTTGAATAAACAGTTTCATTATTTTTTGTTAATTTAGTTCTCTGAAACCAATTAGAAAGATAAGAAGAAAATAAATTAATTTCTTTGCCTTTAATACCAATTTTTTTTAAATTTACCAATGAGGATGTCGTGATCAACGCAATCGAACGCCCGGGACAGGTCACAGAGAACACCAGCTGCTCTCTGAGATCCATCCAGAGCCCGTGTGATGCAGTTAACCATTCTTGCCATTGATGTTTGACAACTGTGCCCTTTTCGGAAACCAAATTGAGTATTGTTTAAGATGTTGTTACTTTCTAAAAAAGATCTTAATTGAATATCAATAGCTTTTTCAAATATTTTGGAAAAACATGGAAGTAATGCATTGCGGTCATTATATCACATTTCGTCGTGCTGTAGACCGATCCACCGTTGACAACGTAGACAAGAAACAAGAACTTTAAATAAGATTCCTACTTACGGAATATCGTGTGTAAAGCTGGTCTTGAAACATCTACCCACAAACCAATGTTTTGGTTACGCCCTATATCTCCAGCGGTTTCTAATTCTTTATCTAAGCCCACGAACACCAAATTAGTGACACCATCAGCACAGCTTCATACAGTTGTCTCAGTTGTCACCAGTGTGGCAAATCTTAGACAGACCATTGCAGGTTTTCAATAGCGTGACAGATTCGTTGGCCAACTCACCAACACACTTTCCCAACTAACAGTGGCCAGATAGTGTCGTTTACACTGAAAGTGTTTTAAATCTGAGACAAAGCTCCATTCAATCGTTAAAAACATTCGTGACAAATCCTGAGTCAATTGTCAGCCTGATTGCTAATCTTGGACAATTGGGATAGATTTTTTATGTGGGGAAAGTTTCAGCATCGAAGTCAAAACCAACCGCTTCAATTATTTTAAACGCCCTAATCCGCGTCTGTAGAGTACATATTTTTCATTGATTTTTACAAAAATACGAGTAATTAGTTTATCCCTCAAATCATAATTTTCAAGTATCAATAAAAATCATTCTTAAAAATGCGTTTACCGTTTTTACCGTTAACTATAGTGCAATCAATTCTTATTTGGTTTCTCATAACATCAATTGAAAGACTTTTAATTGGGCTATGAATTAATGATGCTATCTAACAAAAAGGTTTACAAGGTCGACGTTAGGAAGTAACAAGACCAG